AAGTTCTTTTCTTAAATGTGCAGAGATGACTTTACCAGCGATGGTCCCTGGAACATCTAGTCTGAAGAAACAACATCTCCAGAGACCAACAGACGCACGAGTTCCTACAAATTGAATCAAATGTTGATTACGGCTGGAATAATTGTTCTTTAAGATGATTATCATTTTCTTCCTTCATCTTTTAAGTGGTAAATCTAATTATGATGATCAATGTGTGTGTTTTTCAGTGATGTGGGCAGGAAATTCTACCACAGAACCCATCGAATTATCACACAAAAAGTTGACTGTCGGGGGGGGGGTTCTTAAAGGCATCCAATACAATTTCAGGGTGGAAAAACAAATATATTCTGGATGAGAAAATCTGTCTGATATTGATATTTACTGCCATTTCTTAACACATTTTCATCATCATTTCATACTTGAAGTGTTTGAAAAACACCAGAAGCTACGTGAGGCATCTCTTTATTTTTGGGTACCACCCATAGATAGCTAGAACCAGCCTACGATACAAAACAAGCAACACTTTTCAGTCAGCGATATCGCATTTTTGCCTCACAGATATCAGTATGCTATGGGATAGGAATGATTTATCTTACTACATTAAAAGAATGACCAGGAAAAATTGGCTTTTGAAAATTCCGTTTTCCCGTCTTGGAAATTCACTGCATGGATGATTTAGATACAGCTAAAACTTCATCGGTGCAAATTCCAGTTCTTACCTCTAAGGTTATCTTGTGCTGATTTGTTTTCTCAGGTTTACTAAGGTCTAAATGTTGCTCTGGGAATTCGGCCAATTTGCCTCCAGACCTATGGCTCATAAAATTAGTTACATCTCCATTTCTTCTACACTAAAAAAGTTATTGTGCCCAACAATAAAAGTTGATTTTAAGATAACCTTGGGTTGCATTGCATTGTGATTTTTTTTTGTCAGTGAAATCTAATCTGTACTGCTCAACTTTAGCAGGGTAGACGTTTTATTCCGGTCAATTTGACCTGTGAATTGATCATGATCAAATGAAGGCCAACTATATTTCTTTAAAGCTATAACGTTATTGAAGTAAATGAGATGAAATGAGATCTATGTATTTTAAGGCTATGGAAGTTTTATTACATTAGGAATTTTCTTCTTGAAAATTCAATTTGTGCGTTGCAAAAGTCAGGTTCAGTCGGGGCAAAATGTTACCCTGGGCAAGGGTCAATTTGTCCCCTGAATGTGAATTGAAATTTTTTTCCCCAGCGAAGCGATATACCACGCTGTTGGCATTTTTTGTCTAATTCCCCGAAGTGCTGAATTTGGTCATAAACACGAATGACAGATGACTTCGTCTTCTCAGCCAATCCCACCTCCCGGCGCCACACTGGGACCGGCTGGGACCATAACAATGAATTTTATTTTCATTTTTCAAACAAGACTTCTGATAGGGTGAGGAAAATGCCAGGGTATTTTGCACCTTAGCGCGATTATATGACTGCTTTAATGTGTTTTACTGGCGCAATTTTACCGCCAGCTTTGTCTTGAGGTGGTTTGAGTGGGGGATATTGAATGGTGGTGATAATAAAATCTTCCCTAGGGATGAAGTGCAATTATATTCGCGCCGGCGTCTCTTGCTCACACAAGGCCGGCTTCACAGCCCTCTAGGCAGTAAAGGGAGCTGGCAGGAACCGGGGAAAGGTGTCGGCAAGTAATGGATAATCGGTTGGAAGAACAGGTTAACCTTGCAGCCATTTGACGAAGAGAATTCCACCGAAAAATATACGATAGGCATAGCGAATATATGGAGAAACAAAATGGCGGCCATCGTTGCAACATGGGTTACAACATACACGTAGGTGGGGGTGTTGTAGGGCGTACATGCTGAAATGTAAAACAAAAAATTCAGAGTTTCTTTTCGTTCAACTGAAACAATTCCTCGTGCTCATTAACGTAGTGCTTTTCTGGTTCAAATTTTGTCAAAATATGTTATATTTTCCACCATTTTCAGTCCTTCTTTAGCATAAAACATAGGTGATGGTGTTGTAGTGAATACATAGTACATGTTGAAATATAAACAAAAACTTCAGAGTTGCTTTTCGTTCAACTTAAACAATTCCTCGTGCTCGTTAACTTAGTGCTTTTCTGGTTCAAATTTTGCCAAAATATGTGATATTTGCTGCCATTTTGAGTCATTTTTCTCCTTTGGCGATTCCACTTCTTTGACTTTGATATCAGATATTAGTAAGTCAATGCTTTCATGCAAATTGCCCTGTAGAAATTAGCTGCTCGTAAACTGCGCCACAACGTCCACACGAAAGTTCAAGCCATTAACCTTCGCACTTTCAGTTAATCTAAATCATCAATACAACTTAGATGAGAGATATATGTGTGAATACTGACAAGCATAAAACTGTGATATGTTGGAGTGTAGAAAGCTGAAATGCCAGGAAATAACCGGGAAAATGTATGAAATTTTTATGTTTGATAAAATTTAAACAAAGTAATTAAGACCACCAGTGAAACGAAATATCAGTAAAACATCGTTTTAGAAGGGCATGATATGCAAATGTGTTTTAAGGGTTGCTTAGAAAGGTCACTTAATCTTTCTCCTCTAGTTATGTTTACCGAAGGAAAACATATTGTTTTTACTCAGTTTCTTCCTCCTCTTCTGTTACAAACACTAACCTCTGACCTGGCCAATGACATGATTTGTTGACGTCTGTCACCATGGTGACTGGTGTTGGGTTACATAATGTTGCAATTTCATGGTCTGCTTTACTCCTGTCACCATATACTCAGTACATGTATGTGTTCGAGTAAAAATTAACAGGGTAAACATTATGCATTTGCTTTGCAAATGTTACTTCTCTAGTTTTATACGTTTTAGTCATCACTGTAGAATAGCCCGCGGCTTTACACGTAATATATAATATATCACTGACATAAAAATGTGATAAAACAGAAAAGGTATTGCCACGCGTATCTAGTCAATTAAGATGTAACTTTGTATCTTTTCTTGTTCAGAGAACATCGAATTCTAGATCGCCACAAACAAGTTGGCTGCATGGCAAATGTTTGTTCAAGTTGCGTCCTAAGCCTCTTCGTCATGCGTCGTTAAACAACATTAGCATTTAAACGCTGTACTTGCTGACAGTGGCAATCCACACTACCGGGATATCAGGCTAAGACTGTACCTCGTCTCAGTACGATAACACCCGCACAAATTGAGGAATACTGCCGTCGGCACCTGCCGCTAACAGCCCAAGTCTGACTCATTCTCGGCTGGTGCTTATCAGTATGTGAAAGGAAATTGTTGGTGTTTCCTTGCGTGCATTTGCAGTCAGCAGGTTGTTGCAATTGGGAGAAACGTATTTCCTGTGCGTTTGGACGTAACCTAGTCTCTACCAGACTAACTACGCTGGCTATATATACAGGAGAATATTTACCAGGGGAGTTTGGCCGCCTTGTAGGTTTGATTGGCCGCAGAGGGAAAGAAACTACCTCCCCGCGGCCGGACTCCCTTGGCCAATTTTACTCTCTTTTTTTGCCGAATTCTACGATCCGTATTCCCATAGAAAGGCCTGGTGGAGGCTAGACGTAACCGTCTGCGCTCCACATTTTGAGGAGCATAATTTCAAACGCTGTGCACACTCCAACCGAGACGGGCAGCCGGCCAGAGCGGTTGATGAGAGTGAGGGGGTGGTGATCATGATTTACAGACGTATTGGATTTTATGATTGCTTTGATTTGCCGGCGTCCTGCTAGAGCCCAAGATTATTGTCGCGTGGGGGGGGGGGGGGGCAAAGGGCTTCTTTTCCCATTAAATGATGAAGACGGTGGGTGGGCCTACCGCTAATGGAAATTCTAAGAAAGTCTCAAATGTATTTTTTTTAGTTATTTGCAATTCGACATGGATAATACAGGACATGGTGGTGAGGTACTCTAGCTCTAGCTAATTTCAACCTCACCACCAGACATACAGGTATACAGCGACATATGTATTTGGATATGAGGGGAACGACAGTTCCGTGGGAAAATATTACTAGGTATTAGCATGATGTTTCTTTGAGGCATATTTGGTAGGCTACTGTCCCCCGAGTTTTCCATAAATAACCATTATAGTGTCAGGGAGGATTGAAAACACTACTTGTGAATCATCCCAAATACGAAAAGTGTAAAAAAAAACTAGTGAAAGAAAAACCTAGATTTTACTGAATTGCATGTCACTGTGCGTTCAGATCTTTCTTCTATGACCACCTGTATCCTTGCACATGGAAGCAAGCGTCCCGGGTTCGAATCCCGGGCGAATCATGTGCCTGTATTACCTGGGCAATGAGATCTCGTACGTTGTACGCGTTTCGCCATCATGCAGCAAGGCTAGCATATGGATAACAAAATCTGATACAGCGTTTGCCGAAAATGTACCTCAACAGATTAATGTTGGCATATTAATACGCCTGAGGAAAGGATATCAGAATTGATGGTTTCCATGACGAAAATGAAGATCATTACGTGATTTATAGCGAGTTGTATGTAACGCGACGTCCTTTGGGATACGAGACTGAATATCAGAGCATTCTTTGACGCAAGAAGTATATACTGCACACACGTTCAAACACACATTGCACCGCCCTGCACCGCCGTTGTTTCTTGTTTTTTATGTATACGTGGACTGGCGGGTTCTGATGTATTCCTGTGTAGCTCTAACGCGTCCTTATTTCGTATTTATCCGATAACTGATAAACGACAGCTACTCGTGTAAAGATCTTTGGTTTACGCACTAGATACCTTGCTACGATTGCATGCGCTTCTGCCCTGTTTCAGTCTCTTTGTTGTCGGTGTGTACGCAACGTTGAACAACAGTTTTCAGTCGTCCTCTGCATATAGCCCGAGTGCTGACATTAATCAAAAGGTACGGAAGGATGCGGATTTACACAGTGAGCTCGCTGGCGGAAAGGTTTTGTTACCAGAAGGGCAATCTCTGAAGCAGGAATTGAGGTTGAACAGGAGAGCGTGCGGTTCTTACCTTGCTAGGTGGCTGTATTTTCTTCGTGCAGGGCGGCTCCTAACGAGGAAGCAGAGACAACAGCACATCTACTGATCCTCCGGGGCCGTCCGCACGTCACGGACCAGCCGGGCCGTCTGCAGATAAGCGATAGGCTGAAGCCCGGTCGACTCCCCGCTGCAGGTACCCCAAGACACCCTGGGACAGAGATCATCGGACCACGTGATGAGCGTGGGCATCGGGCCAAGACTGTTGGGGAGGGGGGCATTTATACGATATGCAAATGAACCTCCAGATAAATGTCATTGTTTTGAACCAGAAAATCGAACGTGGACATCAGGGATGCCGGTGGAAATTGCCTTCCCTGCGTGTTCAGCGGTGCGTTGTATCACAGAGGAGGCGAGTGGCGCCTTCAGGAAATGGCATCCATTTATATCAGAAACAGAGCACTAGTTTGATCTCGCGGCATTACCCTTTCTACGTGCACGTTTTTAAGACCTCGCGGTTCAAACGCGTTTCTTCAAGGAGACTGGATTTGTGCTCTGGCCGTCGGCTGCGTTTTTATTCTGACATCAGAAAGAGAATGGAAGGAATGATGGACACTTAAAGTAATCTTATCGGCACTTTATCCTCAGTGATGTCTAGTTACTGATCACGCTACGTCTTTCTATGTACAAGAAGTCAGTCATATCCCTCTGCTACGTCCCTCAAATTTCGTCAAACTAGTGTCGATTTATTACCCAAACTGCCATTTGACGAATGTATTTCTCTAATTTAGGCCACAGCAAGTAAATTTTATGGATGACATCCTCCACATAAAAAAACATCCTCCGCGAATAAACAAGGCGGGTCAAAAACAAGATTCCTACATTTTCAGATTTTTACTTCATAATCTATTTAATGAAGAAATGATAACTACATCGTGCTATGTTAAGTGTCAACGGTTACAATATCCATTTGTCACTGAAAAAGAGTTGAAAAATTAAAGTTTTCAATCATTGTACAAATGGTTTTGATTCCATGGGAACATCACATATACACAGCCACCATCGTATAAAAGAAATGAAACGCATCACTGCATCAAAGTATCGGTAAAAGACAAAACAATAAATCAGAGCCTTGTCTTGTGTCCTCTCTTTATATTTATCTGCTATCCACGTTCCAGCATAGCAGCAGACCAATTTGCCCATTTTCGGCATGTTGACCACTGTCAGAGGGCAAAAAAAAATTTCTTGTCAGGCGAAAATAATGCGCGCGCTGATGCCATCAATAAAAATTACTTGCTGTGGCCCTACGGGGCAAAAAAGGCCAAGAGTTCTTCCATCAACCAAACAAAAATTGATTTTACTAACATACATCTGTGACACGTTGACACGATCCCTATACCTGAGAGATGGTATCCTCTATCGATAATCAAGGGAAATCCCTGCTATAAACCTGTTCTCCAGTTCACAGAAGATGCGCCATGAATAAATAATTACAGCGGAGGAAAATCCAATGTTCGGGTAGAGATGATTTATAACTTTATCTCCACCCAAATTATCCGTGAAAAATTGAAGCCGATCTTAAAACGAAATCGATTTTCTAACGATCAGTCAAGGTCGTTTTATGATCATAGTGCTTTTTTGCATGTGGGGAAGCCTTATGATACTGTGTGGGCCTAAAGATAAAGTAATTATGAATCCGTATAACCGCAGGAAACCTTGCAAGCTTTGTGTTAGATAAAGTAATTATGAATCCGTATAACCGCATAGATAAAGGAATTATGAATCCGTATAACCGCATAGAAAAAGTAATTATGAATCCGTATAACCGCAGGAAACCTTGCAAGCCTTGTATTAGGCCACAGCAATTAAATCTTATTGATGACATCCTCCGCAGACTCCAAATCCAATGCGAGCGGGCAAAAAAAACAAGCTTTTCTTGTCTCCTCTCTTCATAGTTATCTGCCATCCACCTTCCGGCATGGCAACAGACATCTTTGCCCATTTTTGGCATGTTGACCACTGTCAGAAGGCAACAAAATTTCTTGTTTTTTTTTCCCCAAATCAGGCAAAAATTGCGCGCTGATGCCATCCATAAAAAAATCACTTGCTGTGGCCTTAGAGTGTACTGGATCTATCGCTACTGTTATATATTACAAGTATGTGATCTCGTACATCATCAAAAGATAGAGGAAGTGGACATACCTACGTTGTGGCTTAGGATATTCTGATTTGATTACATAGATAATATCCACTGGATACCAAAGAATTGATCCCAGCGTGCGAAGATAAAATTGGGGAAATGCCTTCATCAAAAATGCCTTTATCAAATGTGCCTTCATCAAAAGTGCACTGAACTACTAGCTAAAAGATGGAATTGTTCTTCCCGCAATATTTAAAACAAATGAGTCAAAAAAGGATCGATTGTTAGATAGATAATTACTAAGGTACAGTCCCTTCTTAATCTATAAGTTTTAAGTTTTAGGTGGTGAGTACCACTGAACATTGTCCTCTATATTCTCGTAATCACTGTAAGTGAACGTTTTGTAATGAAATGAAGCAAAATGCAGAAAAGAGTGGATTATTTTATACGGCGGCGTTTCTATGGGTTTAATTCTGCACTTAGTGAAACGGCCGCTGGAGGGCGCTCCTTTACGTGCCCCGAGATGTGCGACAACTAGTAGTTTGATAGTGACTTTCAGTAGTCTCTAGGTGTCAACCGATTTCATACGGCCTCCTGAAAAAAAAATTTGTACAGCTAGATATTCATGGCCTTAGCTACCAAGGCAGCAATTCTTTGACACTTCACACGTTCTTTAAGAAACGGGATAGCGCATAAATTATCTAAGGCTATAACTTACCGATACAGATGGCATTCAGAACCAAGGACAGGCATTGCACTTTCTAACTATGGTGACCAGGGACAAGACTTTTTGGTTATTTATTCAGGAACAGGAACGTTTGGCTATTAATGTGTGTGGATGGCGTTCAGCACCAAGGACAGACATTGCGCTTTCTACCTATGGTGACCAGGGATCAAGTTTCAAGTTTATTAAGTTTAGGGACAAGACTTTTTGCTTATTTATTCAGGAACAGGAATGTTTGGCTATTAATGTGTGTGGATGGCGTTCAGCACCAAGGACAGACATTGCACTTTCTAACTATGGTGACGAGGGACAAGACTTTTTGGTAATTTGTTCAGGAACAGGAATGTTTGGCTATTAATGTGTGTGGATGGCGTTCAGCACCAAGGACAGACATTGCACAACTAATTGTTAACTGGTTACTAGTATCTGTTACATTTTTAGAGTAGAGTAGTCTCTTCGGTCTGGTAGGACAGATGTCCTTCTTTTCCCCTTCCATGAGAGTGTTGGCATCAATGTTCAACCCATTGGGACGTCACAGTTTCTGTTTAAACGTCACGAACGTAAGGAAAAAGACAAAATGTGCGCTTCCACCGAGAAATGATTGCATTATCTTTATTCAAATTATCAGCTGAGGACTAACAGGTGGGAACTACCCATGAGGCCACACGAACTCAGAAGTTCCAAGATGGCGGCTGCACATGGAGCGGGAGAAACTTCTGCTAAAACTTCGCCTCTTTTAGACGACAAACGTCTGTTTTATGTGGTGAGTAGTACGTAACTTTGTTCTCTGTATTCTTGTGACCATTTTTGGAAGGTCTGGTGTGGAAAGACGCCGTAACACCACAGAAATATGACCGTGTTTTTAAGCATGGTGGCGTGGCATGTGCGAGGGCGCGCCTGAACTAGATTGATTTGCATAAGGCCATGTTGATTTGATTATATGGATGACATCTTCCGGGAACCCCAACACTGATGCGCGCGTGCGAATAAAAAAAAAAGTTTTGCAAAAAAAAAAAGTTGTTTTCATTATGAAATCTACGTGGTTTTGAAGGTTTAACAAATGGCACAGAATATGGTTTGGTGAATAATCTAGTCTTTAAGTTCATTTCTTTACAATTTCGTTTTTTTGTTGTTGATTTTGGCATTCTACGACATTGGTATAGTTTTTATTTTTTGTAACTTACGGCATATTTTTGCTCATTTTGCAACCGTTTTGTACGATTTACAGTATGGTTTAAAAGTTTTTTTTTTTGGTAAACGGCCGAAAATTCATGCGCGCGCGGATGTCATCCATATAATCAAATCAACATGGCCTAATAGATGATTACAGGATCCTTTAAAGTAAGGGAGAAGACAGACTTTTACTTATGCTTCCCGTCCAACTTGATATAACCTTTTTTTTATCAAATTAATATTCCTGACATTCTACTATATTATCTTTCGTAAAATTTTTAATTTGCTTCTTACCAAAATTGGATTTCTGTCCTGCAGTAAATGTTACTGTGAATATTTCTTCAATAAGAGAATGAGTGTTTGACCACGTGTTTTATATACAATGTATGTTCTGACAATTTTGATTGGATGTACAAAACATGTATGACTTTGGGTAAAATCATTGTATGGATACTTGATTATGTATGTATGAATTACAGATGATGATTATAAAAGAAATTTAATTGGTTGTATTTAGATGCTGAGGTATTTTACATTTGCCTTTTACAGGAATTGAGAATCCTGTCAAACCACAATGTTTTCCAATTATTATGTTCTGTCAATATGACCTATGCTTGACAGTTGTTGCACTTGTGTTTGAAATGTGTTTCATGCATTGTTACTGTTTTAGACTGGTACATTGTATTCCATGCCATGCCTGCATTAGTTTGTTGGCTATGATTGTATGATGTTTTTGAACTGGCAATGTTCAGTCGATATGTGTGTGAACTTGTCCAGATTGTATTAAGGTGATATGTTATTAACATGAGATGCATTTTTATGTGATTGTTGTTTGGTCATGATATTCCTGTCGACATTTGACTGACTGTTAGATAATATTTCTGTGCTCCACTAACTTTAAGCATAAACTCCTGTTCCTGACTCAAAGCAGGTTTTAGAACAGGTTTCACAAATGTTGTGAATATGACAATGTATCTTGTTTCATGATGTGTATGTTCTGTGGATTGATGTGTGTGATTTGGTCTGAATGTGTATTTCTTTTACACCCTAGGTTTGAGAAGCTGATGCTGTATACCTGACCATGTGGGACCTGTCCATGCTCCTGTGTGTGCTGTGGGACCTGTCAGCTACCCTGTGTACCTGTCCACATTCCTGGA